ACTGTTGGCATGATTATCCGAGTACTCCAATTTGTTCAATTCTACAGTTTCTGTTTCGGATACTCTAAAGAAAGCTTTTTAAATCGGTCTAGTGCCAACAATTACTTTGGCAAATATAAAACTCAACCATGATAAAAACACAAACACCTCTCAGAAGCCTGTACGATTAATAAACAGTATTTATAGATATCTATATAGTACGTTTGGCCTAACTCTAAATAGTATGGACAAGATATACTGTGCGGGCTTCACTGCAAAAGTGACAACGATTATTTCGACGCGACAACTACAGAAAAGTACACAGCGCGATAAAAATTGTAAGCACAGAAAATAATTTATTCCGTACGGAATGCAAATTACATAGCCGTTTAGGGTCCGAGATAGATGAATTGTAATTAAATTAGCTTCAACTCGAATCGTCTAATTCTTCAGGAAAAAGTAAGAGCGTAAAGTAATTGCAAGTTCAGGCTGTACGAGAAACAGAACATCAATGAAATGCAAGACTACGTAAATTTAAAGCTTCCTCAGCAGTCGAAACGTAGTAACGTAAGGGTTGAAGTGTTATGTGTTAACGTAGTATAAGTAATATATATTCATATATTTTTCTGTACATACACTTTCGGTTTTCTACCTGGAAAAAATATGTTTCTTCATATTGCTAATACACGACTTTTCTAATCTATGTACAAAAAGGAACTCAAAACCTAACACTATCTTTGGGCCTATATTCAAATACCGAAATTAACTATTAGAAATTAATCAAGCCAAAGCGCAACAGCTAGAAATATGCCGCTCTCGTCTTCAGGTCCCTGCTGTCGTATTAATTATTTTAAATCATTTCGCAGAATAGGGCGTTTGCCTAATAAAAAATGTGTAGTGTTTTGTCTAACGAAAGTAAATGCGAGTTTAATTCTAAAAATTTTTACTTGAATCGTTTGTCGTTGTCGTAAACTTTGTGATGTACAGCTGTGGACAATAAAATCACTCCAACCAAACTAAAGTACAGAAAGGAAAGTAGCGGCAGTGTATTTTCAAATTTTTTTTTACATTTTTTTTTCAAAATCAATTTTTTTGTCTTGCGTTTTTAAAAAAGTAAAATTTTTTATTCTATTAATTATTAATTAATTCCATTCGCAAGGACGACATTAAACGATATTGACTACCATATCTTTTTTTACAAATCGCATTTTAAGGTAAAATGTGGAAAGGCGGCAAACACCCTGCTGGCATAATTCTAGACGCTGCGCAGATCAACATCCAACACGTTTATACGATAAATTACGTCTAATTATCTTACATCTATACATATTTTGTGTAGATTCAACAAGTATATGATACAAATACACATTATGCTATTTCCGAAATGTCTTGGATCACATAAATTTATAATTTCAGGGGGGGGAGGGGTATAAAAAGTACTTTTGAGCGCATCGAATCTACCTCCTCTCTAATAAGGATATTCCTCGAAAATAGGTAACTCCTCGACTAGATTGACAGATGTAGTGATATGCCGTTTGAAGGCCGTTTGGTTAATTTATTTAAATAATTATTGTTTGTACAGCTATAACAACCGTAAGCACCGGTGAAACAAACGTCAGTGGCTAACGTGTAAGCAAAACTATCAGTGCCGTGTACGAATAGCCTTACGAAATATTACTGAACGACGGGTAACCACTAGTAGAGGTGGTTTAATGGTTAACGCATAAAGTGTAATTCGGAAATTGCACATTATCCAGCGTTAAAATGGTCATGGTGGGTACCGTTTAAAAAGTTGCCATGGAGAAAACCTCGACTTTATTCACTATATGTACAGGGTGTTTTGGAAGAAAGATACTATAAATTCAGAGGTTTGTAGATAAAAAAATAAGTGGCATATCGTCTTCTGTCATCGTCATCTCGTCATGTTTTAAAATCAAATTTTAGGAGTATCTTTTAAAAGAAACAATGTAGTTTGGCACAGATAAATTTTTGGGGGCGTTAAATGTCAATGTTATTAGTTTTTGACCATCTGTCGCCCAGTAACATTTTGATAACTTTTTTGGGACTAGGCTTTTTACAACGTAGTGTTGACGGTATTTTTTTTTGTGCTATATTCGAATAACGATCAAATAATAGCCAATGGCCTTGTTGAATTTTTTAAATTAACCAATCGTAGTGTCTAGTTTCAAATAAAGATTACGAAATCAAGGTTAAACGAAAACGTAATAAATTTTATAAAATCTGTTTTTCATTGATATTTTTCAAATTTGGCAAAAAATTTCGAGAAATATTGAAATGTACGAAATTTTTATTCATTTTCTAAATTTGAAAATTAAAAAATACAAGCAAGTTTTTCATTGCCATTTTGCAAATTTGGCACAAAATTTCGAGAAATATGAAATGTATCAAATTTTTATTAATTCACTAAATTTTAATAAAGACAATTAAAAAATACAAACAATTTTATAGATATAATCTACTATAACTATGCAAAACTGTAATTAAAATTTGTAACCACTCTTTAATTTTAAAAATCCATGTTACGTAAAACATGTAAAATTTCTTTGAAACGATAAAATTTCCAATTATAGTGTTCTACAGCTAATAGGCAACCAGCAATACATTTTTATAAATTTTATTAGATAGTTTGTCTAAATATTAAATGCACAAATAACAGACTTTCCCCCATTCTAACGCAGATTTTTTATAAAGTGGACTTTCATTGACACTCAAATTACTTTTTGGTGTCGAGAAATTTGTAATTTGCTGCTTTTGAATAAGCGGCATTGTATTTTACAAATTTCTTTACACCGAAAAGTAATTTGAATTTCAACGAGTCCATTTTATAGCAAATCTGCGTTAGAATTTAGAAGAGTCTGTTATTTGTGCACTAATTCGTATTTAGACAAACTGTGTAATAAAATCAATAAAATTGTATTGCTGGTTGCCTATTTGCTACAGAACACTCAAAAGACCATGACAGTTAATGGAAATCAGCAACCCGTCAAATTGTCTGAATATTAAATATAGTTTGAGACGTCCTGATCAAAAGTTGTCTCGGGCCCAAGACCCAAATATAAATACTTATCCAGATAAGCGAGTCCAAACGCGCTTATACGTAGTCTTTTTCACGGAAAGGCTCTCCGTACAGCTCTAGACTATCTATGTCATTTAAGACATTACTAAAGTAAAGATAATCAAAGTTACGTATTCAATTGTTTAAATTTCAAAAATTGAAGATGGCGTCGGTCGACATCAAAATCGACGACCGACTTCACAGAATTTCATGAAGTTACATAAGATTTTTGCGGCGGTCGCTAAATACGAACTAACATCAATTATGACCAATTTTTATGAGATCCCGTCTACTTTTTATAACTTTTCTTACTTTCTATCCGCTTGGTTATTCTTTACATATAATTTTTTTCCTTTTGTGCTTGTCTTTTTCTTTCATTGTTCCTGATTCTTCGCTTCTTGATAATTTCCTTACTTTACGTCCCTTTTTCTTATTTTACGCCCATTTTTCAATTTTACACCTGCTTTTTTTTATTTCTTCAAAAATCTTCTTTTTGTTTTGAAAGAAAAGCGCTACATGCAAACTCGCCTCGTTTCTCTCAGAGAGAAAGAGACAGAGAGAGCCACGATGGGACTCGCTCACTTTCAATATCGCTTATCTGGATAAGTATTAATTTTCGGGTCTTGGACCCGTGAGAATTTTCGATCAGGACGTTTCAAACTGTAACATATTTCATCTTCAGACAATTTGACAGGTTACCGATTTCCATTAACTGTGTGCGTGGTGCAAAATTTTACTCCTTTGTACAGGGTGTCCGAAGATGAATGGGCCACACTTTATGGCAAACTTCGGTAAAAATAAATCGTTTTATGTCAAGTTACCGTAGTACAAACTTGTATCCTAAAAAAGTAACGTTAGTATTAGTTGAAAATAAGGATTTTTTTGCATACCAGTGACTTTTTAAAAGAGCACGTTTGTACCCAAGGTAACTTGATCTGAATTAGTTTATTTATTTAATTTCATATGTTTGCGTTTTTCTCAAAAAATCGTGTAAAAATACTGCGTTATAATATAGGACATACACTATAAAAAAACCTAACCTCAAAAAAATTATATAAAATGTCACCAAGTCATAACTAGCGACCTCTATAAGGTTAAAAGCTAATAACACTGACGCATTTAGCGCCCTCAAAAAATTACCTGCAGTTTTTTTTTTATTTGAAAAATATGAGCAACTTTGATTTAAAAAATTGCCTTTCAAGTCCTGCGTGTCAGAAGTATAAGACGATAGGCTCACGGTTTACAAGAAAATTTTTTTTAATTTTTAGTGCCTTTTTTTCAAAACACTCTGTATTAAATAATATTTATTATATTCTAACAAATCACAGACAAAAATGACGATTTTGTAAAACATTTTCTATAATTAACCCGCGAATTACAGTGAGACAGACGGTAGGCCTAACAAAATAACAATTAACAACGATAAAATACACAAACAGTTTAAAAAAACAACATGCCAACCGATACTAAGCCAGCAGTAAAGGTCTAAACATATATTTCTCTCTATATACCAGTCGTAGATCCTAAAAGCGTAACATTTTGATCACATCGAATATACCTCCTTGGAAAAGGACAAAAATGAACCGTAATCCTTTAACTTCGTATTTCTATACGGTGCGTTAGAAATTTGACTACTCTTATTGTAATACTTTTTTCAAGAAAACAATTTTCAAAATCTCCAAAATTATGTTGGCCAGCACGTGCACCAGATCTGAATCCACTCAATTTTTTGCCGAATAAGTAAAAGCACAAGATTTGCAAAATGGAATTTTTCCTCCTGCTCATCAAACAAGAACAAACGCGGGTATTTTGAACGCATGTCCAACATTTTTGTTCATTTACGCTAAGTAACAGAAGCCAGACTTCTAACGCACCCCTCAAGCGGTCTGATCAAAACATGACAAATTTCTACAAAGCAACAGTCGCGGTGGCTGTAAAAATCCACCTACGTGGGCCTCCTAGTTAGAAGGCCCTGCATGGAATTCAGACTCTCCTCCAACGACAGAGCGAACCTGGAGGCACTCGTCACCTCCGAGGACCAAAATGCTGACAGACAGAATATTATGTGGTTCCCTTTCAGATTGTACGCTGCCCCGTAGCCGTCAGGCTCGACCGGCCCGTACCCCATGAAGCTATTCGTCGAGGTGGCCACCTGGCTGGTGCTCAGGAGGAATCTGTTGGCTATCCTATACGAAGGATGGGTGAAAATTTCCGGCAGTGGCACGGCCGCGGTGGGCGACGTCTCTCTGGCGGCCTCCCTCAAGCCTAGAAGGTGTATGTCGATCCCTTGTCCGAGGATGTTCTCCACCATCTCGGAGGTCTGAGCGGCCACGGCCTCGTTCCACAGGAGGAGCTTCTTCTCGTCACTGACCAGGTGGAAGCTTACCTGGAAGAAATCTGTGTTTCAAAACACACAATAACGAGTCCAAAAAATTACCTTCTTATTTCCCATTTCGTCGTCCTCCTTGGGCTGGGACATGGCCGTTACCCAAGCTAAAGCTTCGGGAGTTGCGGATCTGATACAGTCCACCCTCCCCAGGCGAAATCTCCTGGTGGAGGCGCTCTCGTAAGTGGCCGTCAACTTCCCGTACAGCCTGTAGTAAGCCAGCTGCAGCGCCAGCTGTACGTAGACGTCCGGACTAACCCTGCAAGCCTTTATGAAGTCCTTTCCGTACCCCGTGTACCTGTAAACCTGAACTTCTAAATCCTTAACGAGGTTGTCGAGGAGCGAAGCCGCGTCTTCTATCCGTTTGTGGTCTGCCGGCTCCAACACCCACTCCAGGCGTTCCGGGGGAGGCAAGTGACTGCCGCAGGCGGCTGGAACTTCCGAAGACATCGGTAGAGACTCGGCGTGTCTCCACAATTTTTCTACTAGTTGGATGACGGCCACCCCCTCCGCCGTGGAGTGTTCGTAGCATAGACCGCAGGCACCGTCTCCGGAGATGATGAGCTGCATGGTCTTGTCGAACCACCTGTTGGCCGAGTTGTGGGTGCTGCCCCCGCCGTGAATCATCTGATGGGCTAGGTTGGTCTCGTCCCGCATACCGGCTGCGTGACCTCTGCCCCCTGCAACAGATTTATTGTACACGAGAAAAAAACACGTCTCACAGCTCACCCCTAGGCAGTCGGCAGTTGAAATTGTTGGGCAACCCTTCGTCCAGACAAACAATGAGTAGGGATTTCGTTATCAGATCCAAGTTTCGTCTGTTCCTCTCCTCCTTCATCAAGTCTGCCCTGGCTTCCGCCCACAGCGCTCTCTTCCAACCGGTCAGCAAGCCCACAGGGGGTGGGTTCGAGAGGCAGGGAGCGTCGTCCAAAACGTACAGGAGTTGAGCGCAGATTTCGTCTTCTGTTAATCTTCCCCGATCGCCTGTTACAATTTTTTAAGCGAATAATGTATCATAGATTATTATATCAGTCATTCACGTTATACCTGCTTGGACTGGTACGCAGTACAGCTGACTTCTGCAGATGACTATGACGTGCTCGGCGGCCTGCTCTCCATTCTTAGGCGGCGTCGCAGTGTACTGTGAGTCCCTGACTTTCCCTGGTATCCTGCAAGCCCCCAAGATCTTATAGTACTGCGTCATACAGAGAGGTTGCCCCGGTTCCCTAGAGGTGGCGCGTTCTGCAGGTAGCGCCCTGTGGTTGAGGATGTCTTTGTGGGCAAGGGCCGCATCTACAAGTCTAGCAGTGAACCTGGCGACGTCCAGAATCGTGGTGAACTTTCTGGGGGGCATCACCATGCCTGGATTGGAGTTGATCGGGATCGGTTCTCTGTAGTTGAGGTACATGTCGTTTAACCAGTACTCGTAAGCCTGCATAAGAAAGTTAAACGATATTTATCGAGTATTATAGAAATATTAGTACATAGGAAGTGAATTTGAGGTGATAAAATTAGATGTATTCATTAGAAAAGAAGAAAACGAATTTCTTTTAATAGTTTGAATACAAGAAAGAAAAATAACAAGGAGAGAAATCGAAACAGAAATAATTTGGAAATAAATCATATAATCATACTGAAATAACAACAAAAAACAAAAAAAAAACAAGTCATTCTTCACACTGTAACATAACAAGTTCTTATTTAAATAAAAAATGCACTTCTAATGAATTTTGATCATAAAGACGAATTAAAAGCACAAATTAAGTCTCTCAAATGGATTTACTCTAAAAGAAGAAAAAGGAAGAAAAGAAACCCTTCTTCTCAATCCTGCTTTCATGGCGGTGTTTTTCCATCATTTTATTGCAATAAAATATTTTCTCTTCTTTACACATAACAGATTGTTACACTCCGTGTAGGTACGAAAAAGAGATACCTATAATCCACCTCGCCTTACCCTAAAAAAAAAAAAATGGGTACTAAACCCTCAGTATAACATTTTCAACAGTGAAATACCGAACCCTCTACGTGGCGATATCTTTTTTTAGCCTTTCCCTAGCGCAATCAGGGCCTCCTTAGCCACTTAAGCCCTCTTTTGTCAGACCTCGCCGAAACCGCCGCTATCGACGCGGAAGGATCTGATTATCTCCCCCATTGTCTTAGCCGCCGCGGTTTCCGCAGGATTGGCGGCCGATAGGAGGCGTGCGTGCGCTCTTTCCCCCTGATTGGTCACGTCGGCTACGCCGATTCTGATATCCTGGCAGGACGAGGCTCTACACAACATTTATATTCCTCACTGTTTTAGTGTATACCACAAGAACAAGATAATTGATTAGTAGGTACGTAAGTTGCCTTGAATCTTGAATCCTACTGTAAGATCACAAAGTGTCAAAAGAGAAAGAGCGTTTCTTTCGTTTCAATTAAAGAGAAAAAAACTGTTATTTTTACCGTTTTGGTACAAAAACAGCAATTTGTTAGTATAAATTTGGATAAATGTATGATTTATTTGCACTGTTGGTAAAAAAATGTAACTATACCTGGTTTTCTGACTACTTTTTACATCTCTTCCAATCCGGTGCATCGTTCACGCGATTGAAAACCCGTGCTATTCGCGAGGGGGAAGAGAGAGGGGGCGGAAAACGCTAGCACGTTTACTTTCCGAATCGGCGATCAAACAATTTCCATGGCTAACGAGATCATGTGGGCTGGAGAGCGCCGAAATCGCGCTCCGCTGCCCACACTCACGCGGATACGTCACGTCGCGTCCCCTAATTGGATGCCGTCGTGTTTACTAAACTGTGCCTAATTGGCGGCAGATCGATTAAAGCGACGTTTGCCCAGGTAATAACCGGGATTCGAGGGCCGGCCACGTTTAAAAAAAATCGTTTTTATAACAAGTGCCATCTAGTGCTCAAGATAGGTACAACTTTGTAATGACATTAAACAACAATAGATGGCGCAACCTCCCGTATACCTCAGGGTTCCACACTGGGCTGTTAGTTGTGTTTATTAATGATCTTAACGAAGCTGTAGACGGATTTATAACAGGAAATTGTATAAGTTACAGGGTTTTACCTATTCGATTTGACGTTACTAGTTTAGAGACTAAATGAATTTATATTTCGCAACACCCAGTATGTCTGCAAGGGGTGAGGGCCCCGTGACTCGTCCCGAATCCCGGTAGGCCATGAGAGCAAACAGCGCGTTCTGCAGGCCCTGGGGGGATTAAAAATTATAATTGGATTCGGTGGGGCAGACCTGCAAGCGCGCTAGCCTCACGGTTAAACATTTATAACGTGGAGATGATCCTTTTGTTGGTAGCGAAGTTTGCGAATTAATTTCTGAGGGAGAGGGTACTACGTTTGATCGTGAATTATTGAGGAAGGCGCTAATTAGGCGTTGCATAATGAAAAAAGCTAACGAAATTGGGTATTCCTGCAAATACAGAGCGTGACATTTATTTTTATATGTACAATTTTTTACATTAGAAAATAAACATGCAAAAAAATGCCTTGGTTGGGGTATAAGTAAATAATTACCGATATTTTTAAGACTCACCCAATTGTCCGTCTTCTCCCTTCTATCCAGGAGGTACAGTTGCAGTTTTCGACCGAGACCGCCCGGTCCGGCGAAATTTTCAACGATCCTGTGCAGTCGTTCTTGGTCATGTTCGTTGAGGAGCGGCCGAAGGGTCTTTTCGTACTTTTGTAACGTTCTTTCCAGCGCTGGCACCGGCAGTTTCGGTAGTTTCTCCTAAAAAACGAACGACACTTTCAGCAAATTCTAAGCGGTGGACAAATACCGAGAACCCAACGAGAAAAAGCCACTCTTTTCATCGTTTCTCTCTAAAGACACCTTCACATCGAAAGGCAACGCGGTAACTTCGTTCGACAGCGGAATAGTCGTGTCGAATGTGTCGCATTTACATACGAAACTGGCGAAATCATGTGGGCGCGAATAATGTTCGTGTGAATGGCTTAACGGGCAGCTACCCTTCCGATGAAGCGGTAATTCAGTTTGGGAATCATCCATATATTCATGGAATGGGCTCACGGGAGGGGTGGAGGCTCTGGCGGCCATGGGTGGAGAGAAGGGGGACTCGATACTTCTTGAAGTTATTTATGTTTATGTTAGTACGAAGATGTCTTTCTAGAAACTTTTATTTATTAATAATAGATTATTTTCTTTGACATTACATGTATAGAAATAGCCAATGTAGAATAATAACATTGTTCAATTAAAAACTGTTTTTCTAAATACAATTGCATGTTTATTATACAAAAATTGTTGCTTTTAATGTCATGTGAGTGGATAAAATTTTGGCACATATTTTTGCTACATCTTGTATAATACTTTATAAATATATGAGCATTTTTTATGTAAAAAAGTTGATAATGTGTACTTATACAGGGTGTATCTAAATAACACCGAAAAATTCAAGGGGCGATTCTCCGATGAAAATTAATTAATTTTATACCAAAGACCCCTAGTCTTTGGTATAAATTTTTTGAAAAAACCCTTCCCTGATAAGTTACGCCCCTCCTAAAATTACAAAAAAAAATTGTTTTTCTTTTTTATCTTCCACGTACATCAAGCTAAAGAAACCAAACTTGGTGAACATTATCTGTCAATAAAACTACACTTTTTGAAATTTTTTCAACCCTGAACTATTTTTGTAAGGGGTTGAAATAATCAACCCCTATGACATTTTTTCTTATAATTTTTTTTTCGATAAAATTTTTTCCTTTTAAAAAATATGTCTAAAAAACCCCATTCATTTACTAACTTTTTGATCTCTTCAAGTTTCTTCGAAAAGTTAAGGATTTATGACAAAAAAAAATAAATGTATTGTAATGTATTTTTAAAAAGATGAGCTGTTTAACGCGAGTGTATTTTGCCGAAAGATCTAGTGGCCTGTTCTTTACAATGGAATCCGTAGAAACAAATGTCAATGTCATTTATTGTTACTGTTTCTTACTATTTCACAAGTTTCATGATTTTGTGTAGAAAATATTAGTTAATAAACCGAAAATATGGTTAACTATTCGAATTTAGAAATGGCAGATATGCATTTTACATATGGGTATGCTAACGGTAATGCATTGGAAGCGCAAAGACTTTATGCTGAACAGTACCCAGAGCGTAGATTACCCCACCATACTACGTTCACAAATATTCACCAACGCTTGCGGGAACTTGGAAAATTTGAAAAGAGAAGTCATGACTGTGGCCGTAGCCGAGAAGTTAGAACTGAAGCTGTCGATGAAGCCGTACTTAATTTAATTGAGGAATCCCCAGAAACTAGTACCAGGAAAATAGCTCGTGTCCTAAATGTAAGCCATTCGGTAGTTTTTAGAATTTTAAAAGAACAACAGTTATATCCCTATCATCTCCAACGGGTGCAGTCGTTACTGATTCGAGATTTTTTACCACGTGTGGTTTTTTGTCAATGGCTTATTAATATGATCGGCCAAGCGCCGCAGTTCTTAAGAAATATTTTATTTACTGACGAGGCGAATTTCTCAAGAGACTGTATTAGAAATTTTCGTAACAATCATATTTGGGCTGAGGAAAATCCTCATGACTTTTTTGAAGGAAATCATCAGTATCAATTTTCATTAAATGTGTGGCTCGGAATTATCGACGATCATTTAATTGGTCCCTATTTTCTTCCACGACGATTAGATGGTGACTCATATTGTCATCTTCTCGAAGAATTACCTATTATTCTTGAAGAAGTTCCCATTCAAATTAGGCAACGTTTATGGTTTATGCACGACGGTGCACCAGCCCACTTTAGTATACGTGCAAGACGTCACTTGGATGAGGTGTATGCCAATCGATGGATAGGTCGAGGAGGATATGTAAATTGGCCAGCCCGCTCCCCTGACCTTAATCCTTTGGATTTTTGCATATGGGGATATCTGAAATCTTTGATCTACTCAAGGCCAGTTGAAGATATCAATGATTTGCGAAACCGCATTGTAGCAGGGTGTGAAACGATAAAAAATTCACCAGGAATATTTGAACGCATACGCAATTCTATGAGAACAAGAGTAGATGCTTGTATTGAAGCTGAAGGCAATCATTTTCAACATTTTTTGTAGATTGTATTGTCAATATCCGACAGATTTTTATTTTTTGTTACTGTTATAACATTATTCATCATTTGTTCACTTTTAGTCTAAGTTCCAAACTTCTTAGCCTAGTAGAATCATAGGTCAACTATTTGGTTGAGTGTTTTTTAATAAAATGTTATTTAATATGACAATAAATGACATTGACATTTGTTTCTACGGATTCCATTGTAAAGAACAGGCCACTAGATCTTTCGGCAAAATACACTCGCGTTAAACAGCTCATCTTTTTAAAAATACATTACAATACATATTTTTTTTTTTTTGTCATAAATCCTTAACTTTTCGA